TCTGTAAAGAAGCGGGCTTACAGAAAGTAAACAATTGAAATGTATTAAGTGGGTTTTTGTCTGTTTTCCTTTTCAAATTTTACATTTGGCTTTAACGACTTTTCATGGCTTTCATCTAAAAAAGTTGAAAATAATTCACTATGAATTTTGAACTGGCGCGCCTAAGAAAATTTAGTGGTGAACGATAAAGACAATAGAGTGTTTATGTCTCGGAACTATCGGTCTGATAGTTGTCCCTTGGAAATTTGATGTTCTTAAAACTAGCATATTTTGCCCTCGAAGCTTCGCTTCTCGGGCAAATATTTGTTTTAAGAACATCAAATTTCCGCGGGGCAACTATCAACCGATAGTTCCTCGACAGAAACACTCTATTGTTTAAATAGATAGTGTAGCGTAGCCAATCAGCGAACGGCATTCGTGATAGAACGCTAGTAGATTTATACTAATTAACCAATCAGTATAATCTACCAGCATTCTATCACGAATGCCGTTCTCTGATTGGCTACCCACTATCTATTCTGTGATAGATAGTGGGTAGCGTAGCAGTGTGCCCTTGTTAACAAAATGACGGCAAATTGTGTTTGCACTTGTGCTTGCATGCGTCGCTAGTGAAAGCCAGGCTTTATGCTTTCTTACAAGTTTATCAGTTTACAAGTTTAATTTATTCATCGCTAGTTCAACTTCACGTGCAGATCGTTATCCATTATTCGATCAAACAAAACATGCAAAGTCTGGGGTGAAGTTTGGAGCCTCACTTCGTTTAATAAAATCGCTTGGATTTTTCTTCGCTTTCTAATGATAAAGGTTACATAATATCAACATAACGTCTACAGCCAATATTTGTAAAGGAACTGAACTATCGAATTGTGAACGCACAGCCACTACTGTAATCTTTGATTTAATACTTCACCAGTAAATAGCTGCAGTTTGGTGGATAGGTTATTATTTGATGAGACTTCATAATTACGTCATAATAACATCACTGACATTTTTTGATGTAATCTCACTCTTGGTCACTCGTGGTCACTCGTGGTCACTCGTGGTCACTCGTGGTCACTCGTGGTCACTCGTGGTCATTCGTGGTCACTCGTGCCGCCGGCCATTCGTGGTCATTCGTGGTTACTCGTGAGTACTTTTAGACCCTATATAGGTCTTGTATAGGAATCCGATGGCAAATAACTTTTTCCAAAATCAAATTTTACACAATTTGTGAATCGCAACGTTAAGATACTAGGTAGAAGATTGTATTCACCAAGTTTGAAGGATGTAGCTTAGCCAGACGCCCAGTTAATTTTCTAATTTTCCACACATTTGTCTGTAATGTTTTTTTCCCGCAAACCACGTCCACCCGGCCAAATTTAGAGACAAATTTATGGAAAAAGGGAAAAAGCCTGACAGACGAAGTCCAGATAAACTGAGAGTTAACTGCTGTGGTGAGGACCTTTGCAGCTACTGTGTCAGAGCTCACAATCTGCAATCTGCACTGTCTGTCTCAACTTTGTTTGTTCGTTTATTTATTTATTTTTTTTGTTGCTTTATTATATGAACTATTGTGCAACACAGTTTTTCCAGGAGGAAAGTAGGGAGACGACATCTCCTTCGTGCCACTGAGGAGTTTCATCCGGTGACTTTTGCACATAAAATGGGTGTTGAGATTGCTGGAGATCGCTCCTTACATTTGGGTGGTTTTGTGCTGTTTCGACTGCGGAACCCTGGACGCTAACACCAACTGCGACCCTACATGATTCTTACACCACATGCATACTAAGTGGTAGACCTCTGTGCTTATGGCGGACGGAAGTCTGACGTTCTTCAGAATTTTTGGAGAGAGGATTAATTTTGTTTTGTTATATTGAACATATCATTCTATCAGATGTTGTCAATTTCATATTGAATTATGGATGAAATTCTTTCCAAAGAAGACCTTAAGGTAAGGCAGCCCCTAGTGATTGTTATCTCGATCGTAGCTAAGATGTACGTTTTAATAATTATGTTCTCGTGCGAGAAACTAGGTGATTGTTCGTGTTTAACGAGAAGATAAGACACCTAAATTGTAAGCTAGCTGGGTCGGCATATACAGGTGAATAGATATTTGGGGAGCTTCTAGACTGTGAAAGCCCTCGTCAACGTGTTTTAACACTAGTTTTAAGCTTATCACTTCTCAGTGGATGTGTCGAAAACGAAGACCCACCGGTCTAAAACGAAGACCCACTGGTCTAAAACGAAGACCCTGTGGTCTAAAACGAAGTGTTGAAAGCTGAACTTTCTAGACTAGCCGTTTTGTGCTAGAGATCGGACGTGACATTGCGTGACAAGCCGAACATTCTAGATAAGTCGTTTTGTATTGTTTTGTAACCCGGATGTGACGTTGCACGAATTGTTGT